GCAAGGTTGAGCTTAAATATTGAGAAAATATCTGAATTATTCTGAAAAATTAACCAAAAATAAGATATATTTGGTATGCTTGCGCAGGTTGCGCAGTGGCCTATTCATAGCCATGGTAATATTTATCCGATGAACATTCAATTTTGCAACCAAATCAACTTTAATTAATTTAAATGTATTAATTTAAAGTTTGGGTTTCTTATTTACTGGTTTTATAAAACAGTTAGACAGCGTTTATACGTATTTTTAATAATCTATTAGAGTATCTTTAATTTCCTCATTTATTCATATATTGTCAACATTTTTTCAAATTTGAAGTGGAAAAAAATGACAAACCAATAAGACAAAAGAAAAATACTTGCATTAAATTTGATGCATAGTACACACATTAATCGGCATTAGTTTTAAGCTCACATAAATCAATTTTTTTAATCAATAGTTATTTGAAAATGATATCTAGCAAATATAGATTTATAATTTCACTTCTATTCGTTTGCAGAAAATTAAAAAGTTACTTTTAATCGATAGTTATTTGAAATGATATCTAGCAAATATAGATTTATAATTTCACTTCTATTCGTACCGACTGGATTCGGAGGATCAAATTCATGCTTTGAAACCAGGAATACCATCAGGTGGTGGAATGCAGTCAGTTTCTGTAAGAGTACAAGTAACGTTTGTTTTTGCTTTATTGTTATGTTGTTTGTGCTTTTGACGATGATTATGATAACTTCTCTGCTCATAGCGTTTTTGTTCATTATTTTGGGGACAATCAAGGGTAGGAGGAGGTGTTTCTATACAGAATTCTGTTACTGTTACCGTGAGAGTAGTGGTATGACAAGATTCATTGGCATCAACAGTAATAGTCGATATCAACAGATATAAAAAAGTAACGATTAAAAATATGTTAATAGTTTGTCTACCCATTGTTAAATTTTTTGCAAGTTCAAATTTAATCTTGCAAAGGTCTTCATTATATATAATTTTTGATTTTGACTTTGTAACGTTGTACTTAGATATTGCATTAAGTTTCAATTTAGTAGAAATTATATAATTGGTACTTTATACATTATAATGCAATTACTTCACTAAATCATTAATGCAATTACTTCAATAAATCATAATATGCATGTAGACCTCTTTAAATGTACTGCAGCGAAACCATGTATAATTAAATTGATTAATTTTTTGCAGCCATAGGTTACCGTAATAGAGAAATTCGAATTACTAATGTCATAAATTTCATAATTGTGACAATAGTATGCGCATTAGCTTTTATTACGTTGATATTAGTCGATGCTGTTATTTGCGTAAATATTGCATTTTATGGATCTAAAATGTAATTGCACAAGTCTGGACACTTTGATTGGGCTAGGAACGGGAATTAAAATTGAGAATCAATTATTATAAATTGATTGTTGCAGCTTGCACTTGAAGACATAGATAGGGTTGTTAATGGAGTAGCTTACTCCGGAGCACTCCGGAGTAGAACCCAATCCAAGTTGGAGCGGGTTTAAAATTATGCCTTTAAATTTAGAGCAACCTGGAGCAACCCGGAGTACAATGGAGTAACTCGGAGCAAAACATTGGAGTAAGTCTAATTTAGTGGAGTGGGTTGAAGATTTGGTCAACCCAAACCAACCCAACCCAACCCAGTCATAGAAATCGATTTTTGGATAAGTTTACCGATTTTGAATGTAGATCTAAGCCCATATTACTGATTGAATTTATTGTTGATTTGATGGATAATCTGCAAAACAAATCGGCTCAAGTGATGACTTGCATTTAGGGGTTATGTTTAGAGGAGTCTGACTTATCATAATACTGTATGAAATACAGAAAAATAAATTGATTGGCATGACCATGCATTCAAGGGTTGCGTTTAGAGGAATCTGACTGTAATTTGTTCATCACAATACTATATGAAATACAGCAATATAAACTAGTGTTGGAACGGGTCATGCATAGCCCACGGGTTGCCCGGGTCGGCCATGTAGATCACGGGTCAGGCCGGGCCCACGGTGGCCTGCGGGCCAGAGGCATTTGATTGGCTAGATAGTAGATCATCTTTAAAAGTAGCGTTAGAAATATTATTTACAACAAAAGGGCACTTAATGATTTTTGATAATGGAGGTTTAATTAGAATACTTGTCTTTGCATTCGCTAGTTACTGTATATTCATGTATAAAACAATAATATACTATATAACTTACTGGGTTTTTTTTAACAGGTTCATTAGTTTTTTGTAAGGATGATTAATCTCAATAAGTTTTTGTTACATTCGTTTTTTAATTTGTATAATAATGAAAGTAGTGAATTTAAAAGTCATACCATTTTGCGGAAATTTATTTCAAATTTTTTTTCAATAAAATAAATTGTAAATCTTGAATATATTATACAAATAATATCAAATCGTCAGATATACAAAAAAAATCTACACTTCCAAATTCAACAAATATAAAATTCCATGTTCGTTATTTCCAGGGTTTATTATAAAGAAGTTCGTTATCATAAACTTTGACTGTAATTGGATTTATAAACAAATATATATTCATGAACCAAATTAGCACACATAAATAATTCGAATAAGACTATAAGAGTTCTAAAATATTCTCATAAGTTAGATAACAAAATCCAAAATACAGTTTACTTCTTTACAGCAAACTTTTGACATAATGAAAAGTTTTGAATTGCGAAATTCAATCGTATCTAGTAAAATATGTTTAATATTTTCTTGATAAAGTTATAGTATGGATTCTCTCCTAACCTGAGGACTTCATTATAGTGAATTAGTTATAATCGTGTTGTCTTGTATTTCTACATGTGAGACCACCTTTACTTTTTGCTAAAAGTCATATAAATAGCAAATGAATAAAAAGAAAAAACTATATACAGGTAACTTTCTATTATGAACTGATGCAAAAATTTTTAAAAGTTCATTGTAGAAGTAATTTACTATGTTCTTATACCGACTTTATAATAAATTTGTTGAAAAAGGCTCTTTATAAAAAAGTTCAATCTAAAGAAAATTGACTGTTTATATTGCATAGATGTGTCAAAATAAAATCGAATTATCTGTAACCGTGCCTTAATTTGTAGTTAACGATTTGATATTTACGATTCATACATAGTTCGTACTGTATTAATCTTTACTTCACATTCTATACAATCTAGTGCGAAATTATTTTTATATATAGGTAGCTTTACATAAATATATTCTTTTTTACTTACATTTTCAAAACTTTATTTCTGTAATCTCTTTTTAGATTTTTTCTATTTTTATTGTTATTTCAACTGTTTTGGATATACAGTCAGATCTTCCTAAATGCAATCCATCTAAGTGCAACATCTCTCTAAATGCAGCCTTTAACTCCGGCCCAATATCAATATATATATCAAGCTCCCATAAATACAATTTTTCTTATTGTTCTCGAAATGCAGGCTATTAAAAGTCTGGTCCCTACGACTTGCACTCAGGGAGGTTTGACTGTATTTTATTATTTAATTTTTCTATAACCAAACCTTCCTAAATGCAAGTTATAGAAATTAGACTTGCATTTAGAGAACAATAAGAAATTGTATTTATATAAGTTGATATATATTTTGGCCGGAGTTAAAGATTGCATTTAGGAAGATTTGACTATATTTTTTATTCATTTAACCAACTATATTTTTAATTTAGCTCATCTTATTACACCATTCTTGTTATAAACTACTAGAATTACTTGCTTAAAACTTTGCATAACTGCTTTTACAAACCTGCCTAATTGAATAAATAAACATATTTTAATATATACAGTCAGACCATCCTAAGTGCATCTCCTATAA